TAAAACAGAGGAAATGGTTTTTATTTCTCTCTTTTCTTTCTCAGGCAAATATTTTAGACCAACCAACAGACCATCCAGAAGGCCTTCAAAGACTAGTTAGTGATCTAGTGACCATACTCTGAGAAGCAAACTATGACTCAGGCATATATACTATTTTCAGATATTCCTCAGCACAGTAAAATAGCGTGGTGGAAGGAGCGAAAAATACGCTTATTGGTGTGAATCTTAAAACATGTACCGCAAGCTGGGGAGAGAAATGTTCTTGGATAAAACACACTTGGTACCATCCATCAGAATTGTAATAGTTCAAGCAAAAATGTGCATTTATAAAATATTTTCAAAGAGCTCTCATTTCTATACATATATAATCAGATATAATAGGCAAGAATTTCTCCTATATTATCTCCTCCTATATCGTCGGCAGTTCCAATCCACCAGCTGCTCCTTGGAAACCCTATGGGGCAGTTCTACTCTGCCCTATAGGGTTGCTATAAGTCAGAATCAACAGCAATGGGCTTGGTTTTTTTTTGCTTTATATAATCTTTATGCTGCTGATAAACACCTGCTCAGTCAAGTATTCATTCTAGACCAGCTATTAAGTTTGTATTCTCTTAGCCGCTAAACATATGATGTTAACACTACTTTAAATTTATTCCTATTGTAGTTACTTAATAAATGTACAGTGTATTTCAGTTCAAAAATAAATTCCTTAAGAGTGAGGAAAGAAAATGGGAAGAGTACTGAAGTCACTGTTTTGTGTTTTATGTGTTAAAACATTATCCTGTTTTATACAAATGTCTTACAAAATATCTCACTTAATCCTTACACTCACCCATGTGGTGGTGTTATACCTATTTTACAGATTATAAATAAATATAAAAAATATAAAGTTCAAAAAGGTAAAGTACCTTAGTAAGGCTACAAACTCATTAACTACTTGAGTCATGTCTGAATGGCTCCAAGAAATTCATGCATTCTCTACAGCCTGCCTTCACTTTGGGCCTTTTATTCTTACACTCACTGTAGTACTTAAGAGTATTAGCATAGAAGAGATATTCAAGTGCTCTTTTGACATGAACCAAGTAGAATGCCCAATAGAGGGTAGCATCGCATCGGTACTTAGCTAATAATATTTTATGACCAAAGTCTGACTGTATCTGTGGCTCTTAAAGAAATAAAAGGAAATAAAGAATTTGGTGAGCAGTTGTTACGGTCAAAACTGCTAATCTCTGTACTACACTTTGCGCCACTAACCAGAACACTAAGAACTTTCTAACACACTGTACACATGAAAAAAATATTTAAGACTGTAAGTAATTTACTAAGTTGACTTGTATGGCTATACTGAAAAATGAGAACCACAGGACTGCATCTTATATCCTCTTCCCATGAACAAGGAAAAAAGGTTTTGATACCCATCATATTGTACTGGCTATCACTTATTGCATCCCTTATGAAACTTATGACCCACAGGCATAGCTTATGAATCAGCAATTCTTCTGCTTAGTGAATCCATAAGTGTTAGCTGAAAAAAGAAAAGTAGCATTCTCAAGACCTTGTATTATTTTCCTCTTAAAATCTTCACAACTTATATATTACAAAAAACTTCAAACAAAGTAAGATTCTTCTTTTGCTTCAAATAATCCAGAAGAGAAATCCAAAAATATACTGCAGTAATTTCAGACAGAAATCAGTATCTAAAAATCAATGAATTTGTTTTTCATACTTCTTTACTACCCGATATAAATCTGACATCTTAGTTACATTTCCTTGGCAGTATTTATATAGGATAACCACAACACTTAAGCTTATTATGTATTATTTGCATTCTATAAAAATAAACAAGAGGGACCAAATGGTTAAATGTAGATTATTATCAAAGTACTAGCTTTGATTTTGGGTACTGAGTTTGTTAGGGCTTATCACATTATTGAAAATAACTAATTAAGTAACTATCTAAATAAATAAGTGCAGGTCATACATAGACCAATGATGAAAGTATGCATGAGCCAAGTACTAAGATTTAACCGATTTTGTCTGAGTCCAAATTAAAAAAAAAAAAAAAGTTAAACTATCCAACTATTTAATAGAAAGTACAAAAGGAGATAGAAAGATAGGCAAATCACAAAATACTTAGAAAGCTCAACAGGCAGACAGAATATGGACTAAAATTTTAAAAGTGGTTAAGATAGTAGTTTTGGCTCAATCACATGCCATTTAATAATGTACATAACCCTTGCCTATTAAACTTTCCATAAAGTCATCAATATAAAAGTCATAATCACATTCTGAGAATTATTGATGTCCCAGTTACTTACATGTACTAGTGTTTTTTACTTAGTTTTCTCCTACAAAAAGCTTTTTTTTTCAAGTTTTCTTACAGCATTTGATTACCATTCATGCTAATTACACAAATTTTGTGTAATTTTAGGTAGCCTTTCAGCTAAAAATTTCAGAGCCATACAAAGATTAATTCTCAAAGTATACACAGACATATCATGGATTAATAACATAGCACTACTTTTATGAAGATGTCTAGGATGCTTAATAAATCATATTTAATAACACTAGAAAGAAAGGAAATGCTAAGAGTACTTGTATAAAATTCATTTCCTCTCTGTGAAAGGAAATAGTTATTTTCAATCCAGGTACTATCAAGCCTGCGCCCAAGAAATCTTCCTTTGAGAATTTTGGTATTTATGCCCTGACAGGGAACACAAAGAGAGTCCCTGATGGAGTGGGGGAAGGGTGGAGTACAGTGCTCAAATTCTAGTAAAAAGACCAGACTTAACAGTCGGACTGAGACTGGAGGAACCCCAGAAAGCATGGCCCCGTACTCTCTTTCAACCCAGAACTAAAACAATTCCCGAAGACAACTCTTCAGACAAAGATTGGACAGCGCTGTGGGACATAAAATGATACTTGTTAAGAGTGTGCTTCTTAGCTCAAGTAGATACATGAGACTAAATGGGCAGCTTCTGTCCAGAGGTGAGATGAGAAGGCAGAGAGGATTATGGGCTGGTTGAATGGACACGGGAAATCAGGGGTGAAAGGAGAAGCGTGCTGTCACAGTATAGGGAGAGCAATCAGGGTCACGTAACGATGTATGTATAAATTCTTGTATGAGAGACTAATTTGAAATGTAAACTTTCATTTAAACTACAACAATAAAAAAAAAAGAGAATGTTGGTATTTAAATGTATTTGTTATATTTTTAAACAATGTAACCATATGTTTAAAGAAGTTGTAACAAATATAGCTTTCTAAGATTTAAAAAAAAAAAAAAAAAAAACAGGAGCCCACGTGGCACAGTGGTTAAGTGCTTGGCTGCTAATCGAAAGGCTGAAAGTTCGAACCCACCAGCCACTCCACAGGAAAAAGATGTGGCAGTCTGCTTCCATAAAGATTACAGCCTTAGAAACCCTATGGGCAGTTCTACTCTGTCCTATAGGGTTGCTATGAGTCATAATTGACTTGATGGCAATGGGTTTGGTTTGGTTTTTGGGAAGATCAAAAACACTGAAATGAGGGAATGTAGAATTTAAAAAGAATTACTTTATACAAGGAGTTATAAACAGTAAAGTTTGCTCAAAGATAATACAGGCTACAAATACAAATAAATTCAATAGGGGGGTAATACAGAACTTTAAGCAGTTGCTAAAAGAAGTTGGGAATGACTGAAGTGCATCTGTAGATCTCCAAGTCCTGGCTATTAATAATACCAGTAGACCTGGAAAGGAGGAGAAATAAGGAACTTCTATAGTCAAGACCTTACAAATAGTGTATTACTTAACTAAGTTCAAGAACATTTACTGAAGGCATGCTTTTGTATAAAGCACTGTCCTAGGCCCTGGAGCTACAGATTCCAGCTTTCAGGTTTTTTTTAGTCAGTATTAAATCTTCAAGAACTTAAAGTGGTGAAGTGTTATACTGTCAACAGAATCTATTTCCCAAAGGGCTCAAACCAGAAAACTATAACTTCCCAAAAGGTTAAAGCAATCTCTTTCCGTATCTACCATGGCTATTACTAAGCTCGGGTACAGTGCTTGATTCTGGCACATTTATGGTACTTACAGCACAAGTACTACTCAGTAGAATCCACTGCATTCAAGATGCAAAGTGTTTGATGACGGTCTGCCAATCTACAATAAATCCTTACAACATAGGTTCAGTGTTTTCTCGGTTTTTCAAATGAGTCAACACTGATGCATGGATTGTAAAACAATCTACTCTAATTCTAAACTAATGAAACTAACAGGTAACATTTCAAAATGCTATTAAAGTGAAACAGAAGATTATAAGAAAGGAGTTGCAACTTTTTCGATTTTTTTTTACAAGAAAACATATTTGTACCTTCATTAGAGATTATGAATTACTTACGTATCTCTTTGATATCTTGGCGAACCTAAATGATCAACATGCAAAATCATGTGGGGAAAAAAGAAACTCTGCAACAGGATTGCACACATTATGCCTGATAAGTTATTGCTTTATAATCAAAAATTCTATATGACCAAACAATAAATATTTCTACTCATCATAAAAAATGGAGCTGAATTTGCATTTTAGTGACTGTTCACAACTCACTGTTCCCAATACAAAGCAATAGAGTCCAACTTACATTAACAGTGAAGGTGGAAGAAAATAACTCAATTTTTCCTCACATTTCAAAGGTTTTCTAATTTATTTAATATCTCATTCTCATATCTCTATTGAAAGGCTTCTATGGTCACACTCTGTTCTCCCCTACTTAAGTTTTACAAAGGAAATAAACGCCTCATTAGACATAACCTTGATTATGCCATGATTCTGCCTAGTGATGTCAGTTGCAAGTTTGTTGGCTTCGGGATTAGAATGATATGTAAATAACACTAAAATGTCTTGATTGCATTTCTAGAATTTATATGTTGGCATAGCATTTTATAGGAAAGCAAAGAAGATTAAAAATTCATTAAAAAGTCACAATGCGTGAGTAAGAAACAAACAAACAAATCACAAACCTTCTTGAGAAGACACAATGGGTGGCATGTAATCAGGAATGTATTCTTTCCTTTCTTCTGCATCTTTACTTCCAGGTGGAGGAAACTGAAGTACATTGTTCTTGCTAACAGGAAATGAAGGAATTTGATGTGGAAAAGTGACAGGTTCAATATTATGAATATAGTCTTCTAGTTCATGAAGATTAACCCCCATAAGCTGGAAAGCTTCACCAACATCATCCAAAATTGGGTCCGTTCGGCCATCTGAAACAATGTCAAGGGGAAATAAAATCATTTTAAGGAAAATTCAGTGAATATTTTTAAAAACATTAAGCAAGAAGTATTACCTACATACGGAGCTCAAAATCAAATATACTATGTCTTTAAGACTTAGTTACTAGAAACAACTTAATAGATTTTAAACAGAACATCGTATTATTTAAATAAGTTGGAAAGCTGATTCTTTTTTTTAAATTAATTTTTTTCGTACTTTAGATGAAGGTTTACAGAACAAGTAGTTAGTACACATATTGTTTTATGATATTGGTTAATAGCCCCATAACATGTCAACACTCTCCCTTCTTGACCTTCGGTTCTCTATTACCAGTTTTCCTGTCCCCTTCTGCCTTCTAGTCCTTGTCCCTGGGCTGTTGTGCCCCACTAGTCTCATTTTGTTTTATGGGGCTGTCTAATCTTTGGCTGAAGGGTAAATCTCAGGAGTGACTTCATTACTGAGCTAAAACAGTGTCCGGGGGCCATACTCTCGGGGTTTCTCCAGTCTCTGTGAGGCCAGTAAGTCTGGTCTTTTTTTGTGAGTTAGAATTTTGTTCCACATTTTTCTCCAGCTCCATCCGGGACCCTCTGTTATGATCCCCACCAGAGCAGTCAGAGGTGGTAGCTGGGCACCATCTAGTTGTACTGGACTCAGTCTGGTGGAGGCCGTGGTAGTTGTGGTCCATTAGTCCTTTGGACTAATCTTTCCTTTGTATCTTGTTTTCTTCATTCTTCCTTGTTCCCGAAGGGGTGAGACCAGTGGAGTATCTAAAATGGCTGCTCACAGGCTTTTAAGACCCCAGACGCTACTCACCAAGGTAGAATGTAGGACATTTTCTTTATAAACTATGTTATGACAATTGAGCTAGATATTCCCTGAGACCATGGTCCCCAAAGCCCTCCGCCCAATCAATTCGGTCCCTCAGGAAGTCTGGATGTGTCTTTGGAGTTTCCATGACCTTTCTTTGTACAAGTTGTGCTGGCTTCCCCAGTATTGTGTACTTTCCTGCCCTTCACCAGAGTTACCACTTATCTATTGTCTATTTAGTATTAGAAAGTTGATTCTTTAAGTCAATTTTAAATATGATTTGACAACCAACCAGAACAACACAGACAATTCACACTAAAAGTCAGCTAGTTTAGAACAAATATCAAAAGTAGTTTATTGACAGTCAAAAGCATCTGGAACAGTGGCTGACACATAGTAAATCCTTAAAAAATATTACTGTTACTATTTTTACTATCAAGTACCTAGAATGCTCTGTTGACTATGCAAATGTCCATTACATTTTACCTATTTATTCACAGATGTATCTCTGGAACCTAAAACAGTGACTGGCATATAGTTGTCATGCAATAAATATTTGTTAAATGAATTATACCATTGAATCAATTTATAAAATCCAAAAAAATTTACAAGGAAGGATTTAGACCATAAAGGTAATTTACACATAAATCTTAAATGTAATTAGAAGACACCAGGTAAAATGGATAGAGAGTGCTTTGATGTTAATATCCAGGCAAAAAGGCAGATATAGTGAGATTTTCTTTGCAAAACGGAGTTTTTCCTATCCCTACCCTTAGCAAGTCTTTACATCTTTTAGTTAAACTATCTTATTTAAATTCCAGTTTCTGATTTCCAACAGTCTAAAGGATTTCTTTTCACTGAAATCTCCAATGATCATGTCAAATTCAGTATATCTAAAATTAAATCACACTGTAAAATGAAAAAAAAGTTCTGGAAGGAAAGGAGGAGGGAACGGTTGAGGCAGGACACTTTCACTTCTAACTTTAAACACTTTCATAGTCTTTAAATTTTTCTGTAAGCATGGGTTACTTCTATAATGTATAAGAAAGTAAAAAAATAAATACAAGAAAATTAATACTCATTCTTCCACTTACTGACACAATATCTATTTCAATTTGCCTATCCCTATTGTAGGCATTCTCATTCTCTCAGTCTAAAAAATATCATCATCTTTAATTCCTCCTTAAGTTTTGCAATCTCAATCAGAGAGCTTCTAGTACTTTTTTCCCTTTTTGCCATGGATTTCAGATTGTTTTTCATTCTCTCTATTCCTATTATCTCAGTAGAGTTTTATGTTCTCTCCACTTGAAACTATCTTGCACTTCATTGTCAGTACAATTTTCTTAAAACACCACTTTCATCATACTGTTCTTCTACTTAGGAGTGCAATGTCTTCCTATTATCTACCACGTGTTTTATAGGCAAATAGTGGTTCAGTGGTAGAATGCTTGCCTTCCATGCAGAAAACAGAGGACGGATTTCTGGCCAACGCACCTCATGTGCAGCCACCACCTGTTTGTCAGTGGAGGCTGCCATATTGCTCTGATGACGAACAGGTTTCAGTGGAGCTTCCAGACTAAGACAGACTAGGAAGAAAGACCTGGTGATCTACTTCCAAAAATCAGCTAATGAAAACCCTATGGATCACAATGATCTGATTCACAACCAATCAAGGGGATGCCCCTGAATGCCTGGAGAAAACATTAACTTGGTGGTCAATAATTGTTTGTTGAAAAAACAGAAAGGCTTTAAAGGAGTGGAAGAGAAGATTGCATAGTGGTAACTTGAGTTTACATAATTTGATTTTAAAATTATGGTAGCATAAAAAAGGAATAAAAAAAAAGTCTGTAATTAAGTAAACCAGGAATTAGCATTTTAAAAAAAAAGCTCACCAAACTAGGATGTGGAATAATGAACCTGATGATTGCATTCTTGCTGTAATCAAGAAAATGACTATAGAAATTGGGTAATTAGGAAAGAGGTTCACAATAATGCATAACACTGATCACTAGATGACTTTGGAATACATAAGAGTGACAGCACATATTCTGGTTTGTGTATAAGGTAGGAAAAGTAACTATGTATTCTGGGGATATTTTTATTACCTAACGATACAGAACATGTTCTTTATAGGGAACTTGGTAGCAAAAACCTAATTTGGACTATGCATAACCCCTAACAGTATACTCAAGGACTGGGAAGAGAGAGAGGAAAGCAAAAGCCCATGAAGCACCATGCTCCTAGTACACTTGCAAGGTAAAAATTAATGAGAGTTACTTCTAATCCAAAATCGGAACTGCAAATTATCAGTGAAATCAAGGATTCAAAAAAAAGACACATTTCTGGAACTCAAAAAGCAAAGTCAATAGCTATCATGGTAGTGGGTTATCAGTTCATTCATTTATTCAACAAATATTTGCTGGATGCTTATTATGTTATAGCACCATACCAGATTGCAGAATACAAATATAATAAACAGAGTTCCACAGTCTCCTAGGGAGGCGGAAGGGTGAAGAGACATACACAGATAATGACAAAACGAGGTGATAAATAACAAAAATATGCACAAAACTATGACAGCAGATAACCTGAGTTCTAGAAAACAGTTTAACAAAGCAAAATATCCTATAAAATACTTCATCCAGTTCTCCAGCTTGCCATTATAAAAATCATGACCTGGAATTTAAATGAATGGTAGTGCCTTTCGCTCTCCCCACACTTCCCATCAGTGCAACGTGTGGCTTTTATTAAGTATTCCAAATTATTAGATATAGATATTACCATACATTCACCTAGAAACCATAAATACTGTAGCCCTGACTACCTAAAGAACCCTCGTAAACTGCTACGATCCCTATACCACACTTTCATAATCAGTAATATAGAAATATAAAGGGGAAAATCAATGCGTGACTGAGATGTAAGTCATAGTTAAACTAATCAGTGAAACTGACAAAACCGAGCCTGGGAAACAGTGAGTACGGATGCTGTCTATGAAATAAACAGATATAGAAAGAAGAGGCAGTGTCCCTAACGGAGCAGAGCTGTCAATGAGTGTGTTATGAGCTAAAGAATAGCCAGTCTCGTATGAAACTGCCGGTAGACGGAGCGCCTGTGACAATTAGTTGTAGTAGTTTGACGGAGGGAAGGACAACGACCAAGGTAAAAGAGGGTTTAAGACATTCTGGGGATGATTCTACATGCACCAAAAATGAGACAATGAGAAAAACCGACGAACACTTCAGAACAGAGAAGAGATAAAAGGGTAGGGAGCTGGGAACAGAGACAGGGCTCCAAGGCTGCTGGCGGGAAGTTAGCGGATGAGGAAGAGGCATTAAAGGGATGACTAGAGTTTCAAGGGTGAGTGGAAGCGACGGACCGTCAGGGGCCGAGAAGATACCAGATTTCGGGGAAGGAGCGAAAAACTAAAAACTCATAGATTCTGAGATAGAGAAGGGGAGATCGAAGGTGTCACTCGTGACTTGCAGAGGTAACCCTCCCTCCCTCAGCCCGGTACTCACAGAGCTCAGAGTACCGATGGCAGCCCCGTCCCAACTGCTGCAGATAGCGTTGCAGCACGTCCGTGAGGAGATGGCAGGCGCTGAGTTGCACCGAGTCCCAGCCCAGCGCCTGGCAGATCTGCGCCACCGAGACCCTCAACAACGACCTGGAGTAACTCTCGCACATCCCGTTCCGTTGACTCCACCGCAGTCCTTGCTGCCACTTCTCTCCAGCCCCACCGCCTAACCTTAGCAGAGCCTCCGATTCATCCTCCAGGGCCCCTGTGGCGGGGAAATCGTCCCCTAGACCCCTGGCGACCACCTCAAAGCCTCAGCAACACGGAGCCCGCCAGCCTGAGAGTCGCCATTTTGGACTCGCTCCGCCTCCCGCTGGATTGTCGCCGGGGTGAGGCAGTACTAAACAAATACTGATTGCATCAATGAGAAAGCGCTCCGCCCCATTTGAATAGATCGATTGTTGTGTTATCAACTCTTAGGCCTAGAACTCTGCAGGAAACGGCTGTGAAGAACTCTGGTAGCGGTTGCCCTCCTGGAGTCAGGTGATTAAGGCATTCCTAGTGGGGCGCTCACGTGGAGAAGGAGGTAGAGGGAAACCGCAGTATTTTATGGGAAAAGAGGAAGCTGGGATATGAAATTGAAATGAATATTTTAGGGAGAAATGAGAATCAGAGAGGCTGTATGTGCGGGGGTGGAGTTTGGGAGAGAGAAACAAATTGTGAAAACGCGGATCTAATCTGTACTTGCAGGGCTGAGATTAAGATGAGGTGACTGAGGCAGAGTCGTACTTTGAGTGTAGGGTCGGTTCCTGTCTTTATTTAAAATGTTCACACTTTGTTCATCGTGGATATTTTATCCTGATATTAAATTGGATTTAAAAATACTGTATTAAATATTTAAAAAAATAATAAATTAATCTTGATGAGTAAGTTTTATGTTGCCCCCTAAAATTATGCACTCCCCTCACTTAGTTCCGGTACTCTTGTTAAGGGCTTTCAACGACGTGTTGAACAGTTTGGAATCTACCTATACTGTGGTAAGCAGTTTTTGAATTACCTTCAACAAAATTTTATTTGTGTGTGATATTAATATTATTGGATAATTTCCACATTCTGTTGGATCACCTTTCTTTGGAATGGGCACTAATATGGGTCTCTTTCAGTCAGTTGGCCAGGTAGCTGTCTTCTAAATTTCTTGGCATACATGAGTGAGTGCTTCCAGAGCTGCATCCGTTTGTTGAAACATCTCAACTGGTATTCTGTCAATTCCTGAAGCCTTGTTTTTCACCGCTGTCTTCAGTGCAGCTTAGACTTCTTCCTTCAATACCATCAGTTTTTGATCATATGTTACCTCCTGAGATGGTTGAACATCAACAAATTCTGACTTCTCCCTTATTGTGTATTTCTTTCTGTTCACCAGAATTAACACGTGTCTGCTATCCAGTTTGGGATTCTCCCTCTCTCCCTCCCATCCCTGGTAGCCATCAAAGAATGTTTCTGTGTGTAAACCTTTTCTTGACTTTTTTAACAGTGGCCTCACACAGCATTTGTCCTTTTGTGATTGACTTATTTCACTCAGCATAATGTCCTCCATATTTGTCCATGTTGTGAGATGTGTCCCGGATTCATCATTATTCATTATTGTGTAGATGTCATTGTATGTATGTACCACAATTTGTTTATCCATTCATTCACTGATGGACACTTAGGTTGTTTCCATCTTTTTGCTATTGTGGATAATTTTGCAGTGAACATTGGTGTGCATATGTCTGTTCGGTGAAGGCTCCTATTTCTCTAGGATATATATGTAGGACTGGGATTGCTGGATCATATGTATTTCTATTTCTAGCTTTTTGAGTAGGTTCCATACCATTTTCCACAGTGGTTGTACCATTTTACAATCCTACCAGCAGTGTATAAGAGTTCCAATCTCCCTGCAACCTTGCCAGCATTTTTTCTTCCTGGGTTTTTTTTTTTGATCAGTGCCATTATTGCCAAAGTGAGATGGTATCTCATTGTAGTTTTGATTTAAATCTCTCTAGGCTAGTGATCACAAGCATCTCTTCATGTGTTGGGTTTTTTTTTGTTGGTTTTTTGTTTTTTTTTTTGGCTTTCACTGATTTTTCTTTAAGGAGTAAAGAGCTCTGGAGACCAAAAAAGTGAGAAAACTAGTGTCGTAGTCATTTAGTGCTGCTGTAAGAGAAATATCACAAGTGGATGGCTTTAACAAAGAGAAATTTATTTTCTCACAGTCTAGTAGACAAGAAGTCCAAATTCAGAGCGTCATCTCCAGAGGAAGACTTTCTCTCTGTGTTGGCTCTGGAGGAAGGTCCTTGTCATCCATCTTACCCTGGACTAGGAGCTTCTCGGCACGGAAACCTCTGGTCCAAAGGATGTGCTCTGCTTCCAGTGCCGCTTTCTTGGTGGTATGAGGTCCCCAACTCTCTGCTTGCTTCCCTTTCCTTTTATCTCTTGTAAGATAAAAGGTGGTACAGGCCACACCCCAGGGAAACTCCCTTTACATTGAATCAGGGATCTGACCTTAGTAAGGGTGTTACAATCCCACCCTAATCCTCTTTAACATAAAATTACAATCACAAAATGGAGGACAACCACGTAATACTGAGAATCATGGCCCAGCCAAATTGATACATGCATTTTTGGTGGGACATAATTCAATCCATGACAACCAGTGTGAATTATTCCCAGTCTTGATTGCTCCATCTCTTGTCATGACCTCTTGAGGAGCCATTGTTTTGTCATTCCAAGCCGGTGTATAAATCCCTTGCTACCTAAATTTGGTTTTCACTGACCTAAGTGACTGACTGAACTTAGTTTCTTTTTTATTGATATTTTGGGTTCTTTCATTATTTTCTTAGTTTATTATTTCTCTCTATTCCACTTGTATTTACTTTTTTCTTTTTCTCTCTTTATTCCTCTCTTTTTTACTTTTTCTATTTTTTCATTTTGTAATTTTTCTTTTTTCTTAATTCTTTTTACTTGTTCTGCTTTATTGCTTTTTTTCCCATTTTTATCTATTTCTCACTTAATTTACCTTTATTCACCTATTTATTTTTTTATTTTAACTACTGTATTCTTTCTTTTTCTCATTTTTATTCTTTTTTTTTAAATTTTTTTTTGTTATTGTTATTGAGACTATACACAGCAAAACATATACCAGTTCAACAGTTCCTACATGTACAATTTAGTGACATTGATTACATTCTTCGAGTTGTGCAACCATTCTCATCCTCCTTTTCTGAGTTGTTCCTCATTAACATAATGTCAGGTTCCTATCTAATCTTTCAAGTTGCTGTTGCCAGTTTGAGCCTATATAGATGGTACTTAAAAGAACATAATGCTCAAGGCAGGCCTTTTTTTACTAGAAAAGCTAAACTATTGTTTGGTTTTAAGAAGACTTCAGGGGATATTTATGGTTTAAGAATTAAAGATTATCTCAGGGCAGTAGTTTTAGGGGTTCATCCACCCTCTGTGGCTCCAGGAAGCCTAGAGTTCATGAGAGTTTGAAATTCTGTTTTGCATTTTTCCCCTTTCAATCAGGATTCTACTATGGAATCTTTGATCAAAATGTTTAGTAATGGTAGCCAGGCATCATCCAGTTGTTCTAATGTCATGGCAAAGGAGGTAGTTGTTCGTGGAGGCAATTAGCCACACATTCCATGTCCTCCTCCTATTCCTGACCCTCCTTATTCCTCTGTTGCCCCAGGTATTGCTGTTTTTGTCAGGTGCCATCCAGTTGGTTCCAACTCATAATGACCCTGTGTACCACAGAACAAAACACTGCCCAGTCCTGCACCATCCTCACAGTTGTTGCTGTGTTTGAGCCCATTATTGCAGCCACTGTGTCAGTCCATCTCATAGAGGGTCTTCCTCTTTTTTGCTGACCCTCTACTTTACCAAGCATGATGTCCTTCTCCAGGGACTGGTCCCTCCTGATAGTATGTCCAAAGTATGTGAAACAGTCCAAAGTATGTGAAACAAAGTCTCACCATCCTTAACCTCCAAGGAGTATTCTGGCTCCACTTCTTCCAGATAGATGTGTTTGTTCTTCTGGCAGTCTGTGGTATATTCAGTATTCTTCACCAACACCATAATTCAAACGTATCAATTCTCCAGGTGAATGGAGACCAATTGCCGTGCCTTGGGTGGCCGCTTGCAAGCTTTTAAGGCCCCAGGTACTACAAAACAAAGTTGGAAGTAGAACAGAAGTACTAACATTATTAAGCCAATTAACTGGAATGTCCCATGAAACCGTGACCCTAAACCTCCAAACCAAGAGACCAAATCCCATGAGGATTTAGGTTGTACATACGCAGCCTCAGCAGATACTCTTTCTATGTTTATTTATTTTTTTGTTATTGTTGTAAATATGTTACACAATTTCTGCCAGTTCAACTTTTTACTGGTGTACAACTTAATTGACAGCAATTACAGTAATTACTGTGCAACCCTACCCTTAATCAGATTTTTCTACCACTGTTAAACCCCCACTCCTTTTCCCCTTCTTCCTGTACCTGGTAACCAGTCATAAACTTTGTTCTCTATACATTCGCCCTTTTTTATCTTTTTATATAAGTGAGGTCATACAATATTTGTCCTTTTGTGCTTGGCTTAGTTCACTCAGTATGTTTTTAAGCTCCATCCATACTATGGCATGTATGAAGACTCCATTTCTCCTGTTAGCTGAGTAGTATTCCATTGTGTATATGTACCACATTTTGTTTATCCATTCATCTGTTGATGGGCGTTTATGTTGTTTCAAGCTTTTACTTATTGTGAATAGTGCTGCAGTGGACATTGGTGTGCAAGTGTCTGTTTGAGTCTCTGCTTTCAAGTCTTTTGGGTATATACCTAGGAGTGGAATTACTGGATCATGTGGTAGTTCTGTTTGTAGTTTTCTGAGGAACCTCTGCACTATTTTCCACAACAGCTGTACCATTTTGCATTCCCGCCAGCAATGAATAAGTGTTCCAGTTTCCCCACATCCTTGCCAACATTTGTTATTTTCCCTTGTTGTTTTTTTTTTTTAATCTTAGCCATCTTGTTGTTGTTAGGTGCCATCAAGTCAGTTCGACTCATAGCGACCCTACAAGACAGAGTAGAACTGCCCCATAGGGTTTCCAAAGAGTGGCTGGTGAATTTGAACTGCTGACCTTTTGGTTAGCAGCCAAAGTCTTAGCTGTTAAACCACCAGGGCTCCTTAGCCATCCTAGTGGAAGTGAAATGGTGTCTCATTGAGGTTTCGATGTGCATCTTTCTGATGGCTAATGGCATTGAGCATCTTTTCATGTGTATGGTGGCTATTTGAACGTACTGTTCGGTGAAATGTCTATTCAAGTACTTTGCCCATTTTAT